TTTCAGATTCTTTTATATTATCCAAATCTATTAAAATGCTTTTAATTAGCTAAATATTTCGCAATGCAACAAATATTAGCCATTTTACATTATCGTTAATAATTTTGTAACTCTTTTCTTAGTTAAAATACTAAAATTTTGGAATGTTAACCTTCATGTGTCTCTTCCAAGTCAGTGTCATATTGCCAAGTCAATATTACTAACAAAATTGCTAACTAAAAGTTAACATTTGGCTAATTCTTAGTATTTCGATAGATTTGACTAATAAAAAAGAATCCTGAAAAGATTTGGATAAAAAATAGTCATTACCCTTTTAAGTTTTGCAGGTGATCGTTCTATTGCTTCACTTTCCCCGAGGAGAGTAATTGCTAGGTTGGCTCATTTTCAAAGATGGAAACTTGTATCCTTTTCAGCCTGTTTGGATACAATTCAAGAAGAAATGGAAATGAAATTCTATTTCCATTTCCTATTTTTATAGAATTCCATTTTCAATTTTAGTGTTTGGTATAATTCCTACAACTATATAAATGAATTGCACTTTTAACAATAATTAATAATGTAATATATTTGTTTTATCTTGGAGAATGGAATATGAATGATAGAGAAAGAGAGTAAGGTGATAGTTGATTAATAAAATAATAATAAATAGTGATGGGACCCACTAATTCCATCTTCATAAACCAATTCCTATCACTTTTGATAAGAATTGTAATTCCCAAAACTTAGCTCAAATGGAATTCATTTCTCAATCTTCTTATCCTTCCAAACATAAAATATGAAACCGGAATTGAAAATATAATTCCAATTCCTAAGTTTTTTTTCTATCCAAACAGGTTGTTTGTCATGGTGCTAAGAGGATTTGTTGCACTGTGTTTCATGGGCTTGGTCCATATAACTTTATCCCTTCAAAGGTTAGAAGTTTAGTCATAGATTATGCTTATTTCTGAAAAGATAATTAAGGGTTGTCCATATCATGACAACGAAGTTCTATTATTGTTATACCTGCAAAGATATTTTTTTCTTTATTTATGATTTGACCTCCAAAGATTATGCATATTGTTATACTTTGTATATGCTCTTCCCCTTTTGGGATAACTGTGGTAAAAAAACTATGTAGGGTGGGTTTTTTTATGTTTCAGTGAGATTGTTATAATATTAATATTGTTTACAATTCACTACTTTCTTATTTTTATGCACAAACAATATATGTATTGTTTGCTTGATGGTACAAACAATCATTTACAATGAATCCATTTTTTTGCTGAGATTGTTTTCTTTCTTTTTTCTTTCAACTTTAACCTTTAAAAATTAACTTTTGCATTGAAAAGGAGTGAGTTATATTTTTGTTAAAAAGTGACTTTATTTAATTATTGAATTACAATTACATGTACCAAATAATGATACACCAAATTCAACAATTATGTATTGATAACATCAACTTAACAGTCGAAACCCAATGACCCTTAGTTCCAATAACTCAAGTTATTGTAAAAATGTTTCTATATGAATTTTATGTTATTCCTAGCATACAATACCCAATGGCGTAACCAGGATTTCGTTTAAGAGGGTGCATTTATAAAATATATACAAATCAAAAATATTTTTTGTTTACTTTTTTAATCATCCACAATATAATCTTATATTTGAAAAACCATGGTAAACTAAAATACATTGATAATCAAAAGAATCAAGAATGTGACTCTATGTGTGTCCTACCAAACAATAATTCACGATTTAGTTGCTCATTCACTTTCGAATGTTGTTGTTTGTCAAGAATCGTTTAGTACCAGTGACTGGAGTTGTTGGGTAGAGATTAATAACGGATCTTATACCATTTACTAGCATGCCTCTTCAAATTAAAGTAAACTTATATGTGTTTGAAGTATGCACAGAATAAGAGGACATAAATTAGTAAAGAGAGCAACAAGTGAAAATTGTAGGAAAGCAGGAATAAAAGGGGTTGTCTAGGATAATTTCAGATATAGTAGTCATGACCCGACTCATGCTACTACGTAGGGGTGGGCACGTGGGTGGTTAATCCGCGGATTGATATCGATCCAACCACAAATAACCCGACCCGCAAGCAGTGGGTGATTGATGCGGGTGGATTGCGGATTGATAAATCTCTCATTCGTACTTATGTGGGTGGGTGGATTGTGTGGCACCCGAATTACCCGCATCCTATTTTCACATGGAAAAATTATTATTTTGACTACTATTATTGGTTATTATGTTGTGTAATATGATGTAAACTTTAAATTATTAATTTTATCATAATCACAAAATGCGTAAGTTTTCTCTACACAACTGGTTGATAGAGTAGTACAAAAATTATGTAAATACTTTATGGATTCACTTGAGAAAAAATGAGAAGTGTTTAAATTGACCTAGTCTTACTAATTTACTATGAATTTATTATAAATTTTAGTCGCATTTTTTTAAAGGCTAGTTGGAGAATTACTTTTGCGGGTTAACCCATGACCCAACTGCACTCATCCGTCATCCATCCAACCTGATTCGCAGAAGAATGTGATGGATTGCGCGTCACAATTATTTCAACTCGCTAATAAGCGGGTGTGTCAATTTGAAATGAAAACCCACCCAACTCGTCCATTGTCCACCCCTACTACTTAAGGGGTGGACAATACCCATTCAAACGAAACCGGAACAGGTCTGATCGCAAGAATCATATCAGAAATTGCCGTCACTAATTCCATGGCCTACTCCACAATTAATAGTTTAATTGATCACCTACTAATTGCAATTACCAGCAAGACCTCGTTGGGCCTTTATCCTCTTCTACCTAGCTACCTATAACTGGCATTAGATAGCTAGGCTACCCCTGCAGCTGGCTTAAGTTATTCTTCTCCTCTCTTTTGCATGCATCTGCATTCTGCAGTTCAGGCAACACAGATGTCTTCTTCTTTATTTTCTATTTGGAACTTTCTACTTTGAAACTCAATATTGAAGGACAGGATCGGATGGTTCCATGCGTAGCCGTGTCTCCTTCACCAGGTTCCCTAATCATTAGAGTAATGAGTATCTTATACAATACAAAGCCTCAAAAGAAGTAATTAACAATTCCTTGCTCTCGAATATATACTGTGCCTGCTAGCTGTTTCATACACATCTACGTACATATACATCTTTTTTATGATGGTGATGGGAAAGATCCATAACACGTGATTACATAGCCACATAGGAATGATAGAGAATATATGTTCATCCTAATGGTTCGAGTTATCGAAATACATAAAAAAATAAGTTAGCATATTCTTTGATTATTCATTGAGAACAAAAATAGTTAACAGTTGCATGTGGAAGTCAAACTTTATATCATCACACATTTTAACTTGTGTTATAATGGGGAGAGTATTGTGGTGCATATGTTCGAGACTACCAGAAATCCATGAATAACAAGCAAGTTCATGGGGCGGACTGTTCGAGCTAACAACCTAGTAGGTTGTGAAATTAAACCTAGGAATACACCATGTCAGCCTTCATGGCTTACCATTTGAGTTACTCTTTAATGGGGCATATTATATGTATAAATTGCCTCCTATTGTGCGCGCATTTTCATCAAACCTGTCTCTCTACTATTTTTTACATAAAATAAATCCTTGTACTTTGAAAAAGTATCAAACATGCTCTTATGTTAAAATTCCATAAAAAAAACTATTGACCCGACCAAACCCGTGATTTGGATGACACAAATATCTAAAATACCCCAATTATTTCACTTTTAACAATTTTTGTTTATTTTGTATAGCCCAGTACCCCTAATAATTTTAGTATAACGAGACTTACAGAAATAAAATGGAGGGGAAGAACTGACATTTCCCCTTTCACGTTGCCAAGGTCAGGTCGTACCGACCGACCATGGTTGCCGGTTTTTATGGAAATGTTAACACAATAGCAAGTTTGATAATTTTTCTAAGTTGCAAGGATTTGTTTGATGTAAAAAATAGTAGATTGACATGTTTGATAAAAATGTGTAATGGACGACATATTACACTTATAATCCTAAATATAAAATGATATCATATATCTTAAAATTCTATGAAATTCAATAATATCAAAATAAAAATCTTTTATTAGCAAATATTCACTCGTTCAATATTTTAAATTCTACCAAATTCATTTTTAAAACCTAATTAGTTACTATGAACCGTGAAAGAGCTATAGTTTTTTATATTTAATAACGTAGAAAATAAGGGTAGGTGTATAATATAACTCGATTCAGAACTAGATCGAATCGATAAATATACAATTGCAACATATTTACAGTTAAAAGCAATTGTTGGAGGCCATAGGTTGGAACATGTTCTCTCTTTGGCACACACTTAATCATTATTATATATAAAACTAAATACATGTTACTGTTGCCTAAGGAGTTGTTATGATTGGGTGGGTTTTAGCTAATCTTATTTGCTTGGGACTGTTTAAGTTCATGGGCTCTTGATAATTGATGACTGATTGATGAACCTCTCTAAATCTCAAATAGAAAGAGTCCAAGAACCCAAAACGAAATCTAAAGCCCCAAATTATAGAAAGAAAAAAAAAATCTAAAGCCCCAAACCATTTCACATAATTAATCTCCTCTGAAGTAGGGCTGTCACCCGGTCGGTTTCGGTTTAACCGAAAACCGAAATCTCGGTTTTCGGTTAAACCGAGACCTGACCTGTCACCACCGGCCACCGACCGACCCTGGAAGCTCGGTTATCCGAAAACCGACTGGACGGTTTCGGTTAAGGCACGGTTAAACCGACGAAACCGAAAAAGGGAAGGGCGGTTCGGTCGGCTGGTCTAACCGACCGAAGACCGCCAACAACCGACCGGTCGACCTAGCTCCTTAAATCGTCTCTACCCTTCTTCCTCCCCCTCTCAAAACTGACTTCTACTTTCCCAAATCCCTTCTTCCTCCCCCTCTCAAAACTGACTTCTACTTTCCCAAATCCGAAAATTGAACAAAAACCCAACCAAAAAAATACGAATCCCCTTTCTCTCTCTCGCCTCTCTCTCTTGCTCTCACGTTCTGGTGGCGGCGAGGAAAAAGTAAAGAAGATTCAAGCGACGGCGAGGAAGGAGAACCGCCGGCGACTGATTCCGGCTGCAACGACGATGACGGAGACGAATGTAAAGGTCGTTTTTAGGCTTGCATGTTCGATTCAAATGCTCGATCTAGTTGTTTTTTAGGGTTCTGATCTTGTTTTATTTTCTTTTTATTAGGTTTTGTTGTGAATTGGGTAAACTTTTGGGTTCTGAACCCTTTGATTTTGTTTCGTTTTGGGTTTGTTCTCAATCGAGGGAAGGGAGAACGAGGTCGCCGCGGTGCAGAGATGGACGAATCAAGATAATTTTGGGTTGCATGTTTATCTTTGGCGGAGGGTCAGAGGGGGTCGCGATGTCGAGGTGGCTGCGCGACTCGGAGGCTGGGACTCGGAGTCGGAGGTTAGGTCGAAGAGGATGGACGATGGAGGCTGCGAATTGATGCTGCGAAGGCCGAAGGTGGAGGCGGCGGAGGGTCGGAGGCGGTCGCGACGTCGAGGTGGCCGCGCGACTCGAAGAGGATGAACGATGGTGGAGGGCTGGAGGCTGCAAATGGATGCTGCGAAGGCCGAAGACGAAGAGGGCCTAGGGTTGGGTCGTGTTTTAGGCTTAGCCAAAACGACGTCGTATCGTCGGTCGGTTAGAGTCGGTTAGCCGGTTAACCGGCTTCGGTTACTCGGCTAACCGTCTAACCCTATTGTGTTGCCGCCAACCGACCGCTGAATATAAATCCCGGTTTCCGGTTAGCCGCTAACCGGAAAACCGATTGACAGCCCTACTCTGAAGCATAAGAGAGTAATAAAAACTAGGGTAGTTAATGAACCAAACTTCTCATGAACATGAACAGTTATGTGTCCGACTCGAGAAAAATTCATTCGACATTCGATTCGTTTTAATCAAGTCGGCTCGCGAACAAGTTAATATATATAAAGGTGAAGTAGGTTTACTGTTGCCGAAATTATTATATTTTGATACCCCAAATTTAATTTAATTACAACTTAGTCACTATAATGTACATTTTATATTTTAATACCCCAAATTTAATTTTAATGTAAAATCATTGAATAATTATGTTTTGGTATCTAAATTTTATTAGATTTTTGTACCTATAATTTGTTTACATTTACATATTGGTTAAATGTTTAGATTTCACTTGAATCCAATCCACCAATCCTTTTGAACCAATCAATGAATCCAAACCACCATAACATAAAAGTACAAATTTAGTTTGTACCATACAATATGTTGTATCACTCAACTGTAGGAGAAGATTCGACCAATTTATATTTGCTCATTACGTGAAATATTAAATAAATGATAAAAGATAGACGATTCTAAAATATTATAAAAGCGAATTTATAAACTCATTTAGTACATTTAAGGGGTACTAAACAAACTTCTACTACCTACATGTAACAAAAAAATGCAACATCTGTAAGCAAGTGTCAATAAATTGCTACGATGAAAAAGGTTGACTGACGGCCAACTAAAAGAATTAGTCAAAACCTTTTAATCATCTACTTTTCGTTTCATTTTTCACTCGCCTTCCATAACCCTTTTCTTTATTTCTTTCTTTGTCTTCTTCGTCTAAGCCTAATTAGTATACTATTATTTTTATGTATTCTAATCACAACTATGAACGAGTTCATGCACGACTGACCAACCGTCTAAAGAATTAATAATTGAACCATAAACCACTAAATTTTTCAGCTCAATGTTGAGTCCAATTAAAAATTAATATACATGGTTATTACTTTTTAGACAAACGTCATTTATCACTATGGGATTTGAAGACGTGAAATTTTGAACGAGTTTCCTTATAAAAAAAAAAATTTAAACGAGTTCCAGTTTGTATAACCAATATATTTTTTTTGGCATATAAGTCCTCAAAATATTGATGGAACATTACATTTTTGTAGCTAAAGTTTTGTGCATTACATTTTAGTACCTGAACATTTGAAGTTCTACCAATAGGTCTAATTTTTGTATTTGTAATTAAAACACCCTCGAATAAATGGGTATCCGTACCCAACACATACACATTTAGATTTTGAATGAAAATATCCATACCGTATCCAAACTCATCTACAAACTTCCAAACCCTATATACGTCACTCATACTCTACCCATAATCAATAGATCTACTTAAATTTAGCTAAATATCATTTAATAACCAAAATTATTAAATTGAATGTTGACCGCCACCACCAAAGATAATAAAACCAACTTCAGGTCGTTGCGGAGCTCGACCACCACCTATCTAGTATGAATATAAGAAAAATGATAAATTACACCGCTCATAACTGCAAAATTACAAAATTTCGTGTCTTTCCACCTATAATAAGATTATCTATCTAATCTAATCTAATATAATCTAATCTTCTAATCTAACAATACATTTATGGAGATTCTCCTTTAGCAACCCCTTAATTCAACTTTTCCTCGCTTCTGCACATACCACGGAGGGAGCTTTTGGTGATTTCCTATTTATTCTTATGGGTCTTAATCCCTTAGAGCACGGAAGTATCTTCATCTATATGGGCCTCCAGATTATAGCTAGTTATTTTCAGCATCTTAACTAACCAATTGATATCTAACTAATAATTATGTTGTGTATGGGCTTTGATTGTGATGTTATTAAGAACAGGGAAATATATCACGTCCGGTTCAATATAATTCATGTTCATGCGATTTACAGTATCAAATATTATATTAAACGAGATACTTGCGAATTGCAAGGTGTAAAAAAATCAATTTTTCAAAATCGGGCTGGATGTTGAACAGGAAGGTTAGTGGTTCATGATTCAACAGTTAATTGTTATAGAACCGTTGTTAATTGTTGATAGAACTATTCATGCGCTATAATATAAAAGACATATTTATACATTAATTTAGGAGTGAATTTATCACTGACCCATAAACATTTCAAATCCATATCATCCTATCACCACAAGGGTCTAACAAAGCATTCAAACTATCTCACAAAAGAAATCATAAGTTTTTTATTAAATTCAAGCCAATAATAAGAGTCACAATCCGTAGTGAACCAGATAAATTCGACAAGGAGGTTGAAAAATGAATAAATGAAGCATAAATAAATTAGTGATTGAGGTTTGATGATTTTAATTTACGTTAACATATTTTTCTTTATTTTTTATGGTTAAAATAGTGAACCAGTGGATTAGTTAAACCGCGGTGGTTCATCTAGTTTAATGTCAAACCGATAAAAATCATTTTGTTCATCCCTAGCTGTCCAATCAAATGAACCAAACCACTATTGTAACTGGTTTAGTGATTCTACTGACCCAACCGTTGATCCAGTTTGGCGCTTATACAAAGAAAACTAATAAAATAATATTTGAAGCCTACAATAAGTGAATATGACAAAATTTAAAAATTTAGAGAGCTTAACTCAACATTTCATTCCAAAACTTATACTAAACACAAATAGTGGAATTACTTAATTGAATAGGAATATAAATAAAAATAACATTACCTTGCAATTGCATTCCTGCTACACCAGCGTAACATTGCAATTAAATAGCCACAATTGCTACGGACATTAGTGCAGAGAAGGCGAGATAAATAATCCTACACAATAACTAACTCTCACCCAACTACTATATAATTCATACAATATGTTGTATCACTCAACTGTAGGAGAAGATTCGACCAATTTATATTTGCTCATTACGTGAAATATTAAATAAATGATAAAAGATAGACGATTCTAAAATATTACAAAAGCGAATTTATAAACTCATTTAGTACATTTAAGGGGTACTAAACAAACTTCTACTACCTACATGTAACAAAAAAAAAATGCAACATCTACATAAGCAAGTGTCAATAAATTGCTACGATGAAAAAGGTTGACTGACGGCCAACTAAAAGAATTAGTCAAAACCTTTTCATCATCTACTTTTCGTTTCATTTTTCACTCGCCTTCCATAACTCTTTTCTTTATTTATTTCTTTGTCTTCTTCGTCTAAGCCTAATTAGTATACTATTATTTTTATGTATTCTAATCACAACTATGAACGAGTCCATGCACGACTGATCAACCGTCTAAAGAATTAATAATTGAACCATAAACCACTAAATTTTTCAGCTCAATGTCGAGTCCAATTAAAAATTAATATACATGGTTATTACTTTTTAGACAAACGTCATTTATCACTATGTATTTGAAGACGTGAAATTTTGAACGAGTTTCCTTATATAAAAAAAAATTAACGAGTTCCAGTTTGTATAACCAATATATTTTTTTTGGCATATAAGTCCTCAAAATATTGATGGAACATTACATTTTTGTAGCTAAAGTTTTGTGTATTACATTTTAGTACCTGAACATTTGAAGTTCTACCAATAGGTCTAATTTTTGTATTTGTAATTAAAACACCCTCGAATAAATGGGTATCCGTACCCAACACATACACATTTAGATTTTGAATGAAAATATCCATACCGTATCCAAACTCATCTACAAACTTCCAAACCCTATATACGTCACTCATACTCTACCCATAATCAATACGTCTACTTAAATTTAGCTAAATATCGTTTAATAACCAAAATTATTAAATTGAATGTTGACCGCCACCACCAAAGATAATAAAACCAACTTCAGGTCGTTGCGAAGCTCGACCACCACCTATCTAGTATGAATATAAAGAAAATGATAAATTACACCGCTCATAACTGCAAAATTACAAAATTTCGTGTCTTTCCACCTATAATAAGATTATCTATCTAATCTAATCTAATCTAATATTCTAACAATACATTTATGGAGATTCTCCTTTAGCAACCCCTTAATTCAACTTTTCCTCGCTTCTGCACATACCACGGAGGGAGCTTTTGGTGATTTCCTATTTATTCTTATGGGTCTCAATCCCTTAGAGCACAGAAGTATCTTCATCTATATGGGCCTCCAGATTATAGCTACTTATTTTCAGCATCTTAACTAACCAATTGATATCTAACTAATAATTATGTTGTGTATGGGCTTTGATTGTGATGTTATTAAGAACAGGGAAATATATCACGTCCGGTTCAATATAATTCATGTTCATGCGATTTACAGTATCAAATATTATATTAAACGAGATACTTGCGAATTGCAAGGTGTAAAAAAATCAATTTTTCAAAATCGGGCTGGATGTTGAACAGGAAGGTTAGTGGTTCATGATTCAACAGTTAATTGTTATAGAACCGTTGTTAATTGTTGATAGAACTATTCATGCGCTATAATATAAAAGACATATTTATACATTAATTTAGGAGTGAA